CGCGGCCGGCCCCCCCTCCTTACGGCTCGCGCCCTTTCCCGCCCGGGAAGCCGCGAGGAAAAACCCTCGGCCGTCGAGCCGTGAGCCGCCTTTGCGGAGGACTTTTGGCGGGAGGTGAGAGTCCTTCGCGTGCCGATCAACCAGTTTCCAAGCAGTTTACTCTCATCTCAGCTGACACTCGATCCATCAGCGGTGCCCTACGGTCGGGGGGATGTCGCCCCGTACGGCCCTTCAAAGCCCATCGGACTTTCCGCTTTTTCAAGCGGAGATCGTCCCATTGATCGTTTGTAATTTTTCGTTTGCGCCACGGCCGCGCCTTTCCCCTTTCGACTTCCCTATCACCGAATCCTTCATTTTTACACTTAAACGCAACAGTGCATTGGCTTTTTTTTTTTAATCCTTGAAGAAAAAGACATCGATTTATGCTCGGATATCTCTGTAATCTATAATGAAGATGCAAGCTTAATGTCATATCGTTAAACATATAAATGATCTTGTCCGTCGTTTTGTCGAACCCTCTTTTTATCTTCAAACGCTTGCTTAGCTTTCTTTTTTCCTTTTTATAAATAGCTTCTCGCAACGGTTGCTTTATTTTCTTTGCGCCGAAATTCAATTATATCCATCGTCTTTAGGGAAAAATTGGCGTGCATTAAAAAATATAATAAGAAAAAAACAGGGCCTAAAAAAAAGCAAAAAACAAAAATAGAGCTACAAAGGTATAAACGATATTCAAATTTATCTTAATTTTACCTTTTTCTAGTTATCTTTTATATAATACTTAACTATATGCAAAATCATTCGATGCTTCTCTCTCCCTCTCTCTCTCTCTCTCTCTCTCTCTCTCTCTCTCACACTCTCTCACCTCTCCGGATATCACATACACACAAACACACACACACACACACACACTCTCTCTCTCTCTCTCTCTCTATATAAAGTATGTTACCAATTGTTATTACAAATCAAGTATTGCGTAATGTGTTTTTGGAACATTTTTTCTTCTTTTCTCTTCTTTTTTTCTTTTTGTAATAACCAATTAGTGTTTACCACGCGGTCCATTTTAACAAATTTTTGATTTTATATAAATTTAATGTATTTTTAATTATATATCGATAGCACATTTCTTTTAATATGATATTCGAGATTTCCCAAATGATAGGATCGATTCGCGTTTTATTTTTCATATCATCAGGGACTCGATACCTATATTTCATCCAATTATATTTATTTAATTATTTATTATTATTTTTTATTATTTTCTTTTTTAATCGCGTTAAATCGATTAGATGGCTAATTGCATGGCGATTGAAAAGCAAATGTTGGTAAGAATTTTAATTTATCGGGAAAAGTCGATAAGCGCGATTGCACAAAGCGTCGCAATAGTTATACCAGGACGCAGTGCTAATAAAATGGATAAGCCAAACATATAAGATATTCGTTCGCATTTTGAATGAGATACTTTGTTTTTACACGAGAATTTTGATAAATCTCAAGAGGAGAAAATGTGAAAAAAAAGAAAGGAAGAAAGAAAAGAAAAAAGTTCGGCAACAGACTGTATAAAAGACATTGGCGAAAATGGTAGAAAAAGAATGGGCACAAGTGGTAAATGAGAGAGATATAAATTTAACTGCGTGGACAGACCGACAGTGTGAGGATGAGAACGGGGATACGCATGAGCGAGAGAGAGAGAGAGAGAGAGAGAGAGAGAGAGAGAGAGAGAAATGGGAGAAAAAAGTTGGAGAGGCCGAGTGAGGTAGGAGAGCGCGTTAAAGATATATAAAAAAGGGAATGCGAAACTATTACAGTCACGTATCGCAAGAGAGTCCAAGCATCTTGAAGCTATATCCACTCTGTATGCGCATCCGTCCCCTCCCCCCGACCGTCCCCACCCTACCTTCATATCGCGATGCCAACGTTCAACACTTGTTGAAATCGTATTTCGAATTGTCTGCCGCCGTTGCCGCATTGCTTTGATAAATCACGTTCCCCGAGCTCGTCGTTCATTTTTATTATTCGAAATCCACCGGCACCCAATATTACAAAGATTTCGCGAACTATTCACGGCCGACGTAACGCGATGCGTATCTCTTGGAAATTCTCATACTCTATCTATCTCCCTCTCAGTCAATTTCACCGAGATGCACAGCACATGCGTTGCAAAGAATTTTCATTTTCAAAATCGACGCTTTTTGAAATAGCCAGCAGCAATCCTTTCTTAATGATAAACCTAGCCGATGCTGTTTTGTATAGATTCTAGATCCTAGATAGATCATCCCGAATGCTTGATTATTATAAATCACGAAAGCTACAAGATAAAATCACACTTAATAAATCATTAGACGTAGCGAATTACGTGTGTTTTATAAATCACTTGGCTCGGTGATTCATACGGTGAGCTGTAAGTTTATAAAACAGAGTACAACATAAAACGCGCGTAAACGCTGACTTTTACGTCATTTGCACTGCCGCGCAGAGATTCTTTTGCCGTATTATCGCTGTTTGGCCGCAGTCCCTTTAAAATGGCACTGACTTCAAACGTAATTTACGATCCGCTGCTCATTATCCTTACGCCCGCGGCGCTCCTCACCACGCCATCCTTTCGAATAATCGTATGAAAAATCCTGACGCAACAGATCGCCGCTTAATCCCACATACCCCACTTCTCGACCTTCCCACCTTCCCATCTCATCCCCCTCCTCCAACGAGCTTTTCCACTTCTAATTCTCCGAGCTTCGGTTTCACCCCGTATCCTGGCATGCGACAAGATAAATTTTCCCAGCCGACTCCCGTGGTGTTGCGCTCGATCAAAGGACCTATAAAGCATCGGCCGGTCTACCTCTTCCATCGCGGACGGACGACTCGCTATAAATTCGTCCCTCGATCCTCATTAGCCAAACATCCCATAAAACGCGAGGCATCGTGGCGACTCGGATATATATCCTCCTCCTCCTCCTCGGCCTCGCGCCCCCGAGGAAAGCGTCGCAGTCGGAGGCAGAGGCACCGAACGTAAGAAATCAATTGCCGGCGATGCCTCGAAAATCCAGGCGTCCTTAGCTGCCGGGGATTGATTTCTTTTCTTGACGGAGGTTCGGCCCTGCGGCCGGCTCGTATATCACTCCCGGCTGTCAGCGAAGATGGCCCGGGACTCGCGCGCCCCCGGGACTCGTCGCCGTGAGAGAGTCACGAGCCCACAATCGCTATTACCCGCACTCTCCTCGCTATTACCTACCAGCGAATTCCCTCTCCTCACCCCATTCCTCAACGCCCGTATACTAAGTGCCGCGTAATTGCGGGAGCCCCCCGCCCTCGCTCGATCCTTGCTGCGCCTCTTGTTGCCCCGACCGACCCCCGGTACTCGCTTTATAACCCTCAGCCGCTCCTCCGACGGCACTAATGTTTTTATTCGCGCGCATTGACAGTCGACGATCCGCGGCTCTCTTTCTCTCTCTCTCTCTCTCTCTCTCTCTCTCTGTGTCTCTCACTGCGTAGTACGATCATCGGTAGAGTATTTTTCACTGGTAGTCAGTCAGACCGTCGCCTCTTCAACTCCACTCCGGCCTTTCACTCGCTTTTTCAACCAACTGCTTTTCTCCTGTATTTTAGATAGCCCGAGGCACTAAGCTCGATTACCCAATAGGCGTCCCGTAACTTTACGGAAGTATGAGAATTATGACGGAGCCCGGCCCTTAAGAGCAAGCTGCAACGCGTAGTTGAGCAGATGTTGAAGCTACTGTGTTGAAACGTCTCGCGTTGCTCACCACCTACGACAATTATAGTAAATCATGTTTTCAAGTGCTTTGCTAATTTGCTCGCTTCCATTCGCCGTTAGGCATTAAAATAGCTCGGACAGATTCGCGTATAAATTTGCGCAAGGGCTCCTTACGTCTGATATTTTATTTAGAAAATGCTAAATTCCACATATCTTTCTTTCGTCGTTTTCTCTCTCTCTCTCTCTCTCTCTCTCTCTCTCTCTCTCTCTTTTCCCTCGGACTTGATAATCGATAATAATCACTGTTGGCGGTAAAGCCATTGGGCGCGATTTTGATTCCTACCACGAGTGCGATTAAAATATATAAACGATATATCGACGGAACAAATAAATCCAAACTAAATGCGTACAAATACTGTAAAAAAAAAAAAAAAATAAAATAAATAAAATAAAAATAAACTCGAGTGCTCGATTACTAGTTTATAATAAATATTACCATACGTACACGTTTGTCTTCGTTTTTCTTTCTTTTTTCTCCCCCCCCCCTTCCTTTTTTTTCTCTTTTATTACTGGCGTGTGTACACATTCGTAGACATCAACAGATTATACTTTTATTATCTATGCAATTCACGAAATTGCATAGATGGAAAAATGACGCGATGTAGCAGCTAATAGTGCCGGCAACTCATCATAGCTAATCGCGTCGGCCACTTCGTTATAATTTACACAAGTAAATAGTCTGTACTCTCTATACTCGAAAATTGAAATACAATTCGCAGAGTAATTTGAAGAGTGCTAATTATATTATTATTATTATTATTATGATTTATTTATTTCTTTATATGTTA